TATCTTTGATCGTACTACTGCCCAGTGTGCTCTTATTTCTGTCTGTACAAATTGAATAATTAGTTCGGCAAATTACATCTTCTCTTTCATAAACACACCTCTTGTATCATAATGCCCATAGAATGGCTTTTCGACCAAGTTCGAACAAATTCCTTTGAAATTCTGAAAGTTGCATATCCTGTGGTTCCCAGTGCCCTAGCAAGATGACTTTCCAATCCCATGGCCTACCAGCCCTTGTTTCCTATTTTGGCTGCTCTTGTTCCTCAGAGGTGTACAGCTTTTGGAAAAAGGTTGCTGCCGCCGCAAGCATTTGCTGTGGATTAGACGACGTCCCCTGCTCTGTTTGGAGTTTGTCTATGTTTGCGTTCCGGGTGTTGGTCCTGATCTTGTTGAAGAAGTACTTGGTCATTTTCTCGCCCTCTTCCCAGTCTTTGGCCCGTGCCCTCATCCTTAGACTCTTACTTCTCCATTCCTCCTATTCTGACAACTCTTTCCTGGTATGCTCAAAGATTTTTTCATAGAGGCGGTTTCTTGGGTTGTTCACGAGGTTTCTCTCCGCTACCCTCATTGCTTGTTGGAGTTGCTCTTCCCTTTGTTTTCTTTTTGAGGCTAACAATCTGGAGACCCTTGCTGTGGACTCTGCTAGGGCTGAAACCAGATCTGGAAAGTCCTGGTTTGTACTGTTGTGGTTAATGCAAGCTGAAAGGACCGCTTCCTGCATTTCAGATGTGTGTAGAAGGGAATTGTTGATTTTGAAAACATTGTGTCCTCTGCATGTGGTAGTTCCTAATTTGAGTGGTAAGAAGATTGGTTTGTGACCTTGTCCTGAGTAATGAGGGAGTTTTCCTATTTCTGTACAACAGATTGTGCCTACGAGAGATTCTGACATGTCGATTCTTGACGCAGATATGTGCTGACTCCTATTCCTTTTCGGGTTGGTAAATTTTTTGCTTTCTGGGAATATGACTCTAAACGGGTCTATGATGCCCTTTTCTACCATCAGATCATGAATGGGGAGTGCTTCATTCCAAGATGCTTGGTCCGAACCTATTCTTCCGCCTAAGACACAATCCAACGCCGGGTCCAGTGTGACGTTCCAGTCCCCTGCTAGGATAAGCTGTCTGTCGCCCTCACATCTCAGCATGAGACTTTCAATTAATCCGGACCTTCGGATCAGTGTGTTCGGGCAATAAGCCCACAACAGCCTGAATTGTTTCTCTCCTATTTGGAAATCCACCTTGTCGCATCTTCCCTCCTCCGTGTCTTTGTTGGAGTTCACCTTAGTGATGCTGTTCGCTGATCTGGATTTGGCGTGAACTAGGATGGCTACACTTGCTGAGTTAGTTCAAGGAGTCGCTGCCCAAATTACTTCTTTGTGTTCTTTGGAGCTCTTCAGATTCTGTTACATGGGTTTCTTGGATTCACACCAGATCTGGTGGATTCTTCCCAAATCAATTAAATTTTGTGTCCTTGATTAAATTATCCCACTTCATTTGACTGAACAATAAGGAGGACATGCTGTTCACATTCCATGGGATGATTATGTGATTGTGACGCCCAAACCTCACGCCCGGCGCGACTTCCTGATCGGAGTGGGATGTGGGCCTGGAAGTGCGAAAAGGGGTGTGCCAAGGATTTTTGGGGAAAGTGGGGGTGGAGTCCCAGGTCGGAACTGAGGTCTCCTGTGGCAAGGGTCCAGCGGCATAGATGCAATAGGGCTAAGGGCCGGGTTACTTCCGGTCTGACGGAGGTCGATGTCGTGCAGCATAAGGCAGATGGCATGCGTGGTGCATCAAGGGTCGTCCGATCCATCTGTTTTGGTGACGGCGGTTCGGGAGAGGCCCGTTCATGAGGGTTGCAATTCCTATGAGTCGGACCTTCGGGTGCAGACATGTGGCGTCTGTCGCCGCGCGTTATGGTTAGGCTCCGTAGTTCCAGGGGTTCGGCGGTGACTGCGTCGTCTGCAGTTTCTGCACGGCGTATGGGGCCAATACAGGGCGATGGAATTCCACGGTACCACTGTGAGTTGGTGATACGGGAGGAGGAGATGGAAGGGAGGGAAATTGGTGGCGATAACGA